ATGGTCTTGGTCTTGGGCTTCCACTAGTACTAATCTAAATCCCGATCATAACTTACTTACAAACCTCTCAATGGGCTTTCCTTTTCCCCTCCCCCCTCCCTCTCCCCTTGCAAATCGTAAAGGAAAACCATTGTGTGGGCACTGGACTTTGGCCTTGTCCTGCGATTGCGACTGTGTGAGTGCTGCTCCCCTAGGGCAATAATAACTTGTAAGTGCTGCGCGTTGCATGTATGTGTGGGCAAATCTATTATGCACAGCTGTGTGTGGCATACACTTTATATACATATATATATTTATATATATTTGTGGAAGGTGCGCTGCAATAATGGGAATTGTTGGGCACAGGTCCGTCAGTTGCGGTTGGTTGTAGTTCTTGCCCAGCTGTTGAATAAGCCAAAAGTGCCCCGAACTCTAAGAGATTAAATCGAAACGAAAACAAACCGTAGACAAGTGAAAGTCCCCAAACGTTTCAGATCAGTCTGCTACTTTTTGTGACACCCATTCCCGCTGGAGTACAAAACATGTGTTAGAAAAATATATATCCAAAGAAAAATATATTTTTGCAAATGTAAGATAGTGTGATTAAAAACATAATATTAACCAATAGTAAAGACTATTTTTTAATAGCACTTCTTCTGTCAGTTTTGAATTCAAGTTGCTTAAACAATATTACATGAAGAGTTGGTTTGCATAGAGACCAAAAGTTATCGCACACACCTATGAAATACAATCAAATGGCAAACCGGGAAAACCAATCAATGTGTGATTTATGTCAGGCTGATTGAAATTCGATTAGAATCGATGGTTGTGGTGGTTTTGAAAGCGAAACGTTGAATTTGGAAACCGAAAATTGCGGTTATGATACTCAACTGACTGCCAATGTCCCCCCGATTAACCTTAATTATTAGTATTTGCCTTTCGCGTTTTTCTTATCCACTGTTAACCAGAAATCATTTGTTGACATATCTGTGGACAAACGAAAACCACATCATTGCATGGCACACATACTCCCACGCACTCACTCACACACACACACACACACAGACAGACAGACACACGGACAGGGGAGAAAGTTGGGAGAGAAAGAGAGAGCGCATCAGGAAGCCATGATAAAAAGAATATGTTTGTTTAGTTTGTGTGTGTGTGTGTTTGTATCTGTGTCTGTCGGTGCGCGGGTGTGAAAGTGTGGGTATTTGCCTGACAGTGTGTGCCTGTGTGTGTGTGTGTTTGTTAGCCGACTGACTGGCCCACTTCCGTTAACGACATTTGCTTCTATTTGGAGAATTAAGTCTTAAAGCGTAATTGAGTGAACATTTTCATTGAACCATAAGTGTAATTCGGTAGGTGATTTTTTTCTTCCTTTTTCCCCATGTTTTTCCTTCGCATTTTAAAGGGTGTGTGCTTAGCGGAAGGAAGGGACTGTGTGAACCTTCTTTTCACCGGAAACTCCGCCATCTAACGGAAATGTGACAGCCATTGATCAGTTTGCCACCCAGCGAGTGTGTGTGTGTGTGTGTGTGTACGTGTGTGTGTTTAAGCCATTCTTGCAGAAGTGCCTTGCCACTTATCGATGGCAGTTAACTGGCGGCAAAGAAATGCCCTCGCCTGAATGGAGACCCAAAGATACTGTCACTCAGGACACAATGCAGGGGAATCGTCCTTTTGGGCAGTGGCGATTGACAAGAAACTGTCTTTTTTCGGCCATGCAACAGTTCACGGTGATTAAACTAAGGGTTTGGACTTAAAGAATATGTCAAATAATCAAAATGATCTTACTAAAAAGTTTATGAAAAATTGTATCTTTAAAAAGATTACATTAGTTTGCTTATGGGAACTCTGTAAATAAGAAAAGCTTTTTAACACAAAATGCAATAAGCTGAAAAAATTTATGAACAATTATATTTTGATTAAAAAATATAATATTATTTAAAAGGTAAGAAAGCTATTATTTTTTAGACCAAGAATTATTTTATTACTTATTTTTTATTTTATTATTTTTTTGACCTAAGAAAATTCAAGATAATAAATTCTTTCTTAAACATTAAAGTATACATGAAAATATGAAGAACATATGGTGGTAAACCTGGTAAATACCTGGTTATAAAACCCAAGTTCCTACAACTTTTGAGTGGGTGGAAAACTGTCACTCCACAGGGAGAAGTGGATCGCAGCCACTTCCGTTTCTCTTTTCCGCTTTTCCCATTTCCCATTTGCACGTTCCCTTCAACTGCATCGCCTCCGAAATGCAAATGTTACCGAATTCCCCGACGTACACGTGTCGTGGGCTGGGAATCCAAATAGGATGGAATAGAATGGGATGTCGAGGGCTCGGGGAATTGTAGCAAGCAGAAGCAACAGTTATCATTATGCCACGACCAGTGAGACAGTCGTTCAGCCAGTCAGTCAGTTGGGCCGTTGGTCCTTTGGTCCTTTGCACATTTGCAGCTAAATCACGTACTCGGTAAATGTGCTACTAATGAGCGCAGGAGAGAAGCTACACCGAGTAGTGGCTACACCGGGAGTAATGCTCCTCAACTGTCCCAAGATTATCTATATCCTAACATCTCTCATCTATTACTTTGCTTCAACTCAATTTGGATTTAATCAGTGGTTTTTCTAATATAAAATATACATTTTTTGAGCAGGCTTATGACGGCTTAATACTAGTGACAGGTTAAATATTTATACTACAATACATTTTCGTTTTTTCATTATTTTTGTTGTAGGTTTTATGGGTCTTAAATTCCCAAAAAAAAGCTATAATATATTTAAAGTTCGAAAACCTGCGTTTTATTCTTCACAGCACACTTTTAAGCACTTTTACAAATACCCAAGTTTATTTTTATAAAACACCTGTGTATTTAGTTGTAAGCTTAAATTATTTTTTTATCATTTGAAAAGCCAGTCGTTGTTTCTTTAAATAATTGACCTCTAAACTAAAGTTGATTTGATTTATATATTTTAGATGGACTTTTTGTTGCAGTGCTCCAAGCGTCGGCAGTCAGGCATCATGGAGCCTAATGTCCCTGATTTTACAAATGATTGTCGAACAAATGCCCCCCACCCATTAACCCGTGTGTGCCCACCTTGGTACTCGCATCCCACACACACCCCCACACACACCCCCACACACACCCTCACACACACGAAGTCGATTCAATCATTGCGGGGCGTGTGTCTGTGCAAACAAGTTCTATAAATAAATGCTCATTTCTTTGGGGCTGGAACAATGCTCATGTTGAGGTGGTTTTACTGGGTTAATGGTGGTGCTGTGGAAAATGGACCCCTAAAGTTTTCAACAATTGGTGCGCCTAAAAGCAGGCAGCAATAAGTTAACACAATAGTCGGTAAGACCTCGTCAAATCAAATATAAGTAATTTTGCTTGTCAAAATAAGTAGACGCCTACCATCTAATCAGTATATTTATTTTTGGAGACCAATCGGTAAATTGCGTGTTTATTGAGTGAAAACAGTTATTTAGCTAAATAGCTTAATGAACTTTGTATGTTTTGAGATGGCAAATATTGAATATTTATTTCATTATTTCCTACGAATAATTTTCAGGAATTTCACAATATATATAAAACTGTTTGGATGTATTTATTGAACGACTAGAAATTCTTGCCAAACATAATGTTATACATGAAATAAATAAAGAAAATTTATTGTTGTCATATCGGTAGAATATACAAATTTAATATATCAAGAATTTTTATTTGAATATAGATTTTTAATATATTTTGCATTTTGATGCTTTTAAGGTATAGTTTTATTGGTTTTTTATTTTTCCAAATGTGCCTTTTCGTTCAAACAATATTACGATAAGCTAATACTTTAGGGTTTTTCAATTTAACTAAATAACTTTAGCCAAGTCCTACACATTTTTTAATGCAAAATCAATTTCATAACTATAATTTTTTATTTACTATACAGTAAAGACTGTTTTGAGTTATATCTCGCTCTATATTGTGACAGTTAAAATGTACTTACCTGGACAAAGGTGACAGCAAGTCGAATGGAGAAACCAACAAAAGGCAAATATAAGTGAGGCAATTGGAAATTGAACTTCACAGACAAGTCAAAACTATCTAAACAAAATGTCGGAGGCTTGTTTCCGTTTCCGATGAGTTAGTAAGTTGTTTCCAATTTGAAACTAAGTTTTCTGAACTGGCAAATAAACAGCAGCAGCATTTTATGACCTCAATGTACTTTGATTTATTTCATGGAAATCTATTCGCTTAAGCAGAAACATAATTTTATCCCCGCGAAATTTCTGGGAAGTGTTCCGCAAAAATGCCCTTGAGACTAGAAAGTTTACATCAGTTTTGGCTTTGAAGTAAAAATCACTGGGGAAGTTTAATTTGAATTTAAGGTTGTAACTTATGTAAGTTTGCGAGAAAATCTGTTATCTGTTCTCTTAATGTTTCTTAAGTCAATTACAATATTTAATTCTCTTTGATTTTCGAGCCATACTGTGTTTTTAAAAATATTGAAGACTTGTGTTAATTTAATAATAAAGCATATATTTGGCTTGGTCTACATTTTAACGAATAGGCTATTAATATTTATCTTAGCTTGCATTTCTGCTGATTGTTGCATTTATGTTGATTTTTTGCTTTTTATTGAATTGTTGTGTTTCGCCATAAATATTTTAGTTTAATTGGGATTTCTGAGGGGAGTTGAGACAAACCAAACAAAATATTGGCGAGACAAATAAATATGACCAGTAAAAAAATTGCTAAATGCATTTGCATACCAATTTCCATAGAATTGAAGGCTAAGGCTTGAAATGTTAATTCCCAAGAACAATTGCTGATTTAGATTCATATGCGGCCAAAGAGTTTGCCAAATCTATTTCAATTTCAAGCCATTAGCAATAAATGCAAGTGCATTGCCGCAAAATAAAAAAATAAATAAATAAAACCAATCAAGTAAATTAAATTAGGGAAAAGTTATACCTAGATGTTTGGCTTACGTTACAAAGGGATTTCTCTACTTACATGTTTATTTTGTCTTCTTAACTGGTTTCTGCCTCGTTTGAGCTCGGTTTCCTCGGTTTTGGTTACCTTTTTTGGCTTATGATTTCTTTTCCCTGGGCTTTGTCATTTAAAGTCACCCTGGCATCTGCGGTTTTTTGATCAATGTTAAAGCATCTGTTGCTTGTCAGGTCCTCAGTGTAGGGCTTTATTTGGCTTATTATGGGCTAGATATGATGTGTAGATCAGGTATAAGTATGTTCTGATTTGTTGTACTTTTTGTGGCTGCTTTCAGGTAGTTTGAGTGATTCGATGGGGGTGCTCGGATAACTATTGCATTGCTTTCGGTTCACAAAAAAATAAATACTCTTATTACATGTAATTCGACACAAACACACATTTGTTCACACATTGAAAAAAAAAACGTATTGTCCTTTGACTTGTTGCACGTTGGCCAGCGTTGCAGTATTCGATTTCGAACTGCTGAACTGTTGATGTTGCTGCCGTGCTGTTGCTGCCGTGCTGTTGCTGTTGCTCCTGTTGCTGTGGCTCCTGTTGCTTTTTGGTTTCGCTGTGGCTGTTGCTGTTGCGAGGCGCACAACCTTTTGGCTTGGATGTTGAACAGCATCTGTTGCTCCGCAGTTGGCCAACTGACGAGGACACCTCGTGTGGCGGGTTCTCGGCACTTCGGCTATGGACCCACCCCCTCAAGAAGGCCACCCAGTGCGCCCAGTTCACCCCCCGGGAACAACAAGTGGAAAGTGTGTAACTGTAACGACGACCATGACGACGACGGCGACGACGACGACGGCAGCAGCAGCAGCAGCAGCAACAGTCGTAGCAGCAACAGCACAACGGCAGCAGCAACAACAGCAGCAGCAGCAACAGCAGCAACATCAGCAGCTGCGACAGCAACAGGCTTACGTGGCGCCCAGGTGATACGATGGAGTGGCACTACCAATACCACGGTAATACTTTTTTGGGGGTTGCTGCCGCCGGAGGGGAAATGGCAGCTCAGCTCGCTGAATCGCTGATTAGGGGAAATAATGGTCCACTGCGGCTTCAGTTTCTTCTTCTGATGTTGCAACCGATGTTGCAGCAAAAGGATTTCTTTGAGAATCACTTTTTCTGATTCATTATTTTCTTTTAAGAAATTTATGGTTTCTGAGAGCCTAATTACAAAATAATTAGATACAAAAGAATCCCATATTAAATATTCAAAATATTTGGCAATTAAAATCCTTAAAGAGTTTTATTTTCAATAGTTTATAAAATATGTTTATTAAGAAATAAAGAACTTTACATATTAGTTTATGGATCAATAAAAACTTACATATAATATTTACTTAATTAAGAAATGGTCACTTTCAAAAACAAAAAATAAATATTTGTGTGTAAAATATATTTTAAGCATTATGCAATGTTATGATCTGAGCACACCAATTTGTTGATCCAAACTAAAAATTAAATATTAAAAACAAAATATATGTCAATGACGTTTATTTTTAATAATTATACAGAACATTTAATAAATGAGTAATAATATCTGTACAATTAAGTTCCTGATAAAAAATATCGTTTTAAGCTTTATGTGTTTATTTGAAACTTGTAAGCTAGCAATCTGTAAATGTTGTATATTTTTTCTGATATTTATTTTAACCAATAAACTTTAAATATTTCATTCCCTCTGTACTAGCAGAACTTTCATTGAAGAGAATTGCTTTCCAATTTGGGTCATTTATTTATCATAAAATATTTCCTAAAAAGCTAACAAACCATCTTTATGAACACCGGCAAATGTGGATTTAATTTGGGTATGTTTCGTTCTTTAGTTATATTAATTATTAATTTCAGCTTCATTATAATTACGGCAACTTAAACAAACAAATTGATAAATAAGGGAAATAAATCGTATGGAAAACCTATAAAAATAAATAAGAAATGCAGACATTCCATAGTGTGCAATTTTTGGCTGAATCGCTAATAAGTTCCGACCATTTTTATCGAAGGCAATTGCTGAATGAGGCGTCGGGATAAATTTCATATTGCATCCAGTGCGAACGCCGCTTGCAGTAATTTTGCTAACTTGATTTACGCAGATCATTGCTATTGGCGACTCGGCAGCCTTGGTCCGATTGCCAACGGCAAGGTTGTGGGTGGGAGGGGGTGTTTTTGGGGGGCGGTGTGTATTCGATGCGAGTGGGTGGATGTGCAACGCCTACGCCAGCGGCTTACCTGTTGGACTTGTGCGCCGTACGGGGCGTATGCGCAATATGCACTTTGTCAACAGGTTAGCCTTGAGCCTTGTGCCCCAGCCAAGGACACCGATAACTACTCGCGCCTCGGTGCCTCGCCCTATCCCGCTCGCACCCGTGCTCCCTCTCGCTCGCACCCGGCGCACATTCAGCGCATGCCCCCAGACGCAAAGGCGTCGAAAATCCGGCGGAGAATCCCCATATCCGCCGGGATTGGCGCAGCGAATTCAGCAAAAATTAGTGGTTGCTTTTCGGAGGGGAACAAAACCCGATAATTTGCGAATCTGCCCGAAAGACATTCTTTTTCTGCCGCCTGATTCTTTCGAGAATCGGTCCTTTTAAGGTAATAAACTGACAACCTGATTGAAAACTGCAACTGCCAGGCTGTCAAATCCTGATTTTTAACATTTAAGTAGCTAAGGCAAATAAAATATTAACAAGACTAGAATGTAAGTCTTTCAGAGTCAATTTAAGATCCACTATTCAACATTAATCTGCTTAAATAGGTTATTTTTCACAAAAGTTTTAGAATACTTTAAAAAATTATTCACATTAATTTCATTTTGCCTAATGATCGCAATAACATAAAATGTTACACCATAAATTAAAGTCTGGATATATCTATCAATGTTTAATGAAATATGTTTCAATTGTTCAGTTTAACATTGAAAAAGTATTTATATGTTATTGCAAAAACAAACAAGAGCATAAATTAATTTCCATTACTTTTGTAAGTTATAATAATAATGGTTTTTCTTAATTATATTAGTATATAACATATTTTTTCAAGGTTTTTCTTTTTCTTTGTGTTTATGCGTATTTTTGTTTTAATATGTATTCACAATATAGAATATACTCGAAATTTGCTGACCATTTTTACCAGCACAGTCATTTTGGAAATTCAAGTAAGGCTCTTACTTGTGTATTCTTTTGGAACTGACAAATTTTGTTTGGACTTCCATTTAGTCAGCTAAAGTTTTTCCCAAGTTTCTTTAAAACGTTCCGACTCCTAGCAACCGAAAGGCATTCAACATATCATTCCATGCATATATGACTTGCTTAGTTGCTTCTGTGTGTTGATTTGCTAAGCTAATGATGCCATCTCCCTTAATGGTTTTGCATTCGCCTTTCAGTTGGAGTAGTCATTCAAAACGAGACAACATTGCTACAGAAAATACTGTATAATCTATCCAATTAGGGAGTTGAATGCTTTTCAGCCGAGTTAGCTGCACGGGGGCTCAGGTGTTTACGTGTGGGGCAAATTGGCTGCCATGGCAATGGAGCCCTGCTCTTCCCTTTTTAATAACTCGCAAGGCTTTAAGTGCGTTGCAGGCGACGCCACTTCAATCCGGTTACCCAAGCGCGGTGACCATCTTCTGGCCTTTTGACCTGTTGCCATGGCGAGGGCACATTAAACTCAACACAACACCCGGTCATCCAGATGCCCAAACGAGACAGCTGGGAACAATGCAGAAAGTCATAAAACACTCCAAGATCGGGGGCAATGGGTCGAATACGTAATACCTGCGCAAGCTCAATTATCAAGTAGCCGATTCGCGAATGGGAAAGTTAGACAATAAAATTAATAATTATAAAAATAAATTAGCAAAATATATAGACCTATTAAGATATTTTAAAGTAAAGTAATTTTAATATATTTATTAGTAAGAAATTAAATACAATTATTTTCTGGCAAACTTAAGGTCAGTTGTTATAACAGAACACACACAATTCGAATACAAGTCACTATAAACCCTTATCACAACCCAAATCGGGAAACGCAGTCCTCACTGCAAATCAGTAATAAAAATAAGAATTTAATTGTTAACCAAAAATATGATATATGATATAGTAGATCGGTTTTTGCTGTTTGCCGACGGCAAAAAACTAAGAAGACCAACCATTTTCCATGAAGTTTGGGAATTTTTGCTGTTAAAACTACAAACAAACTAGTAAGAAATTTTACGCTTTGAATTTAAACAAAAATTCATTTTAAAGAAGTCAATTTAATCATTTAAAAAGATCTGATTCGTTTTAAGAAAAGGATTTGCACTAAATCTAGAATGGTTTATTTGTTCAAGTCTAAGTAACAATAACACATTTGTGTGGTTAACATATTTCTAGCGGTAGAACGGAATGCATTTAAACGTGTGGCCATAAAAAGCCCATTATGCAACGAAGTAACTCACGCAAATACCAGTAGATATATTATATTTACAGATGCAAATACAGATACAGCTTCCATCTGAATGCGCAACACATGCCGATGCAAATGTAATTCGTTATCCAATTTTTTTGTATTTTTTATTCTTCAACTTTTAACTCTTGCGAACAGAAAAAATAGTGCGGAATTCGTTTTTCACAAATTGTTACCAGAAAGTAAATACAAATATTTTTTTCTGCCCTTCGTGCGAGTGAAATAGTGAGGGAAATGCGCTGAAGTGGCTCATCTGCTATACAAATATGTTTCGAATGCGTTTCAACCGCAACTATAACGAACAATTTGCCAGACCCAAAAGCGCTCCAACAAAAATTCCAACCATAACGATTTAAACCAAGGTAGTCGACATAAGAAACAGCCTCTAGATTTGAGCTTAAAATGCACTACAAATTGCCAAGACAAATAAATTGCCTTTACTTTTCATATGCATTCGAGACATTTCAAGAATAACTTGATTGTTCAAAAATGTAGGTCATTTGTAGTTTAATTGATCTCAGTCTTACTAGCTCAGTTTGATTAACAGTGATTAAAGCGAGGCCTTACTTTAAAATTATTATAAGCAAATATAACAAATATTTTAAATACAATTATATGGTTTTCAAAATGTGTTAACGATGAATATAAAAAGGGGCCCTAAAATTGTTTTTCCAAGTTATAAATATAGTCCGATTTAAATCAAGTTTCATCACTACCAAAACTGCCAGAAATTACAGCGAATTTCGATTTGAAAATAATTATAACCATCTGAGTGTTATCGAGTACTGCAATTGAGATAGGTAATTTATTTATTCAGTGATGGAATGCTACTGATTCCGTAGATTTTATTGGAGGGTTCTCGCTCAAGGGATCCATACTTGGGGATACCACAACTGCACCATTATCCGGATGGATGGGGTCCTTTTGGGCGAAGGACTCCCTCAGGGCCAATCGGTAATCGTCGCCGTAGAATCGCATCTGCTCCAAAAGTCGTCCTCGGCCATCGATTACATAGAGGAAATGCGGCTCCCGCTCTCCAAGGACATCCTCAAGGACCTCTGTGGACTTGGGCAACTCGATTCGGTCCTGGAGTCCATAGCCGCCCAGCAAACTATATTCCGGAAAACTACTGATCGGCGGCACATAGACATTGATGCGTTTTCGGCACCGGAACATCTTGGTTGGAAAATTTTGGAGGATGGGGATCAAACGGGAAACAAATTGTCAGTTTGAAGTTTTCAGCAAACACTAAAATCTCAGAGTACTCGTCACATTAACTTGGCTATTTTATATTCATCAATTTAAATAGATATTAACTCTGCTGAATTTCACATAAATATATAATATATAATAAATAATATATATAATTATATAACATATAATAAATAAAGTGGTAAACAAACTTATTCCCTTATTATTAATCTTGTCTTTCTTTTCAAAGATAATAAATCTTTTTAAATTACAGTATTACAAGGTACAACATTTTATTTTATTTCTATATATTTTGTTGTATTAAAAGAGCATTAAAACATACCTCTTTAGTAATAAATGGAAAAACATAGTTTGCAATGTATAAGTATCTATGCAAGTATTATACACTTGCCAATTAGCAAGTTTCATTGTTATTGCGTACGAAAGATAAACCTTTTGGATACTCCTATTTTTGCGACATGTTATAATTTGTAAAAGGATAACGAGTATTCGGGCATTATTTTCTCAAACCCACTAATTAAACAGTCAACATGAGTTTGCACTAGCCAAAGTAAAATCAGAAATTAGAGTGTCTGCCGCAAATTACGGATATGAATATTGATGCATCGGTGACCTCTTGTTCGGTTTTAGCTGAAATTAATGAGCTGACAAATTCCGATAACAATATCACTTGGCAATTATTTTTTCCATGTTCAGCATTTGCAATTTTAATTAAACTTTAAACTAATTTAATGCCACAAGCGGTTTTTTTTTATTTTGTTTTGCACTTTTTGCCTCTGTTCATGCGTGGCAATTTGAAGCTTATTATTAATGTTGTTCCATAAATTATTTGTGTCGTTAATTAATGAGATATCATATTCTCTTACATTGCATTTGATCAAATAATATACACATTGATTGCCGTTGACAGCAGGCGCGGTCATAATTTGAATTCATTGTGTTTCGATTGCTCATGTTTGTTTTTATGATTTTCTGACGAAAAATTACAAATTTTTGTACTGCACTGCGAGGGGAGAAAGTGAAGTTCAAATCATATGAATTTGTTTATAAAATTGTATTGAAATATAGTATTAAATGTATTGCATTTCTGGTAGCTATTGCTTAACTTAACTTACATATTAGTTTGTATTTTATTTTAATTATAACATATTTTCATATCTTTGGGGCAAATCAAGGCTTTAGTTATTTCTTAAGATTATTGAATATTTATATTTTTAATATGAAAAAATTAATTTGTGTATTTTTAATTTCTATAACTCTTTTAGCTTCCCTCATTTTGTCAATTTGTGGCCTTTCAACTTATCTGTCACCCTCACTAAAGGAAAGTATATTCGTTAATACACTTAACTAAGAAAAGTGCTTACAAATAAATCGAACTCATATTTGCCCTAATATCTGCCCTAAAACACAACTAACTTATTAAATTTGCACTGTTTAATGCATATAAGCAATGTAATGTTAAATAAATGTGGTTTTAAAATGCGAACAAAAATGCAAGCAAAATGACCTTAGGCAGGAATTTCAAAAGTATTAAATTAGTTGTTATTATTTTATTTATTTATTATTTTTGTTATATTTTTTTTCGACTATTCCCAGAGCATATCAGATTCGGGGACTCTCTTGGCGGCGCTAATCAAATTATAGGCAACATTGTGAAGGACATGCATGGCGATTGCACAATTGAAATTGAATGCTCTTTTGGCCCGCAACAGAACAATGGAGGAGTGCTTCATTACATTCGGTCATGTCCGCCGAAACAAGACAAATAATTAACTGGCGATGGCATTCCAGTGATACGAAGCGAAAATCGAGTGGATTTAAAGCAGTACAAGATAATACCTTGCCAAATTCCCCATGTGCTTCGCCTAATGAAGTCGGAATTTTGCCACATGCACAAATTAGTAGGTATTTGCCATCCAGAATATTGTTTCATGCTACGACTAACCATCACAGTGCACATTGGCTTTGGTTTTTACCCGAAATAGTTGGCCAAAAGTTCATCAAAATAAATGGAGAATCATATGTGGGTTGTTTGGATTGGAATTTTGGTGGTATTCATCTCATTTTCCACCTTTTATTCTCTTCATTGCCGTAGGAAAAATAAAAAAGTGCTTTTCTCAAATAAAATAGATGTGAATTTTATTTAAATAATTTAAATATCAAAATAATAATTAAATAAACAAATTAAATAAATTGTATTTTCCCTTTTTAGGATATTAAGTAAAAGAAATAATTAAACGAGCATATTTTGTAAGCCTAAGAAATATAGTATATATTAATTAATAAATTTATCAACATAAAAAAATACAAAGCCAACTAAAATAATGCTATTTTCTTAAATAACTATTTAAATTAAACAAAATCTTTTACTATTGATATGCCAGTTGGTAGTTTGTTTAAACATTTTTAATAATTATTTTTTTCTCTTGTAAGATAAAATATTTAAAAATCTCCCATGACCTTAGAAATATTAAATATTTAAATAACTATTTTGTATATGCATGTGCAGCCCCTCCACAAACTATTAACACGGAAGCAATTTAATATCAATTTAAATGACATTATGGCTTCCGGCACAAGATGCCCTGTTCCAGTGGACCACTCATGGAAAACAACATCGAAATGCACAGAGGAACTTCTGTGACACCGGGGAAAACCACGGTCAGCGTTTCATCACAAAACACTAATTGGACACTCTGTCATGGACAAAGACACAAATTCGACACCATAAACAACAACACCAACAACAACACCAACAACAACAAATGGCACGGTCAGGGCCATAATTAATTGGATTTCGTAAACAATTTGTACAGTTTCATTTTCCGACTAAACTAAGTTAGTCGACTGCAAAGTTTGCGCAGAAACACTGGACACAAGTGCAGTTAACCACAGCTTATTAGCTGCATTTTCCAGGAAATGAGATGCAGCTTGAGATCCCCCGTAATTGCTTCATGGAAAATATGCTTTTCCCACAAACTTGCCGCTAATAAAATTTAAATTTCACTGTAAATCGTGTTGAATGCAGCTTTGAGTTTTATGACTGCATCTGAATTTCATTCTTCATTCATTTAATGCGTTTACATTTATATATTTTGAAAAATACTGCATCCCAATTTAATTTATAAATAAACTGATATATGTGGTTTAATTTAAAAACATCAACAAGATATCCTCTTTACAAAAATTATTACAAATTACTGCAACCCAATTTAATTTATAAATAATCTAATATATTGGTTTAATTGAAAAACAATAACAAAATACAAATATTAATTTGTATTTATGGGGTTTAGATGTTTTAAAAAAATCGAAATTTATAATTAAGACAGTTATAAAGCCAAAGAAAATACATTTTATTTTAAATGAACGTTCAAGATTCCAAAAGGACTTCTTGGAAATGAAAATGATTGCTGGCAGTCCCGGCAACTGGTTGCTCCCCTGAACTTGAGCCCTTCCTAATTGGCCACAATGCAATAGCATATATTTTTCAGTTCCCAAAAATGCATGATAAGAGCCCAGGCGATGTACTACAGTTTTCTGAGGGTTGTGGCATCATTCTGCTTATTTGAAGCCGGCAGCTGTAGCATTCCTGGATCAGATTTCGAAATGGGAGACTATTTCCCCACCTGCGAGCCAAATGCACAGTGTGCATTTCCAAAGAGCAGCTAGTTGCAAGTGAGTTTTTCCCGAAGCTCCTTTGGGGTAGGATATTTCCAGGAATCATCGTTCTGCCGGATTCAAAGAAGACGAGGATTTGAGGCACCCAGCAGCTGCCTGTTCATACATTCTCCCTCATTTGTCGACTGGATAAAATAACAGCTAGGCAACTTATTAATCAGCGAGCCAATAATATCCTTTGTGCCAGGATGCAGTCATTATTTGAGAGCCAAAGGCTGCAATATGACAGGAAGCTGTTCAAATTGCGCATTTTACAATTTGCTTGAATTTCGAAGCACAATTCTTAGTATCAGAAAATTAAATATACCATTGCTTAAAGGTGCCTAATTAATTACTGAGCACGAACAATGCGAAACAAATACTTAGTGTATACAAATTAGACGGCAAACACTTAAAGAGAATTTTGAAAAAAATCGAAACAGAATATTCGGAAAAAAATTAATTTATAATTGTTTAAAAATTAATGAAATTTTTTTTTATTGACAAAATATGTTAATGATAGTCAATTAAAATGATTGTTTTTCACGACAATTTAAACCTGAAAATTGTGGTACCTAAAAATAATATTATTTTGTTATACAAGAAAAAATTATCTGAATTTGAATGTGTTATCATAAAATCATTACTATTGTATGTGCAATGAAATAGCATTTTATTTTCACTTCATTGTTACTGACTCACAATTAAATCTTACAATTTTTTATTTATTATATGGACGCAAGCAAATTAGAAGCCTAAATTAATTTATGTACATAACGAACGCAATGTCCCACAGACAATACCCGAATACGGTTATTAGCCGCCGTAACTTTTATTCAACTTTAATTTAAAGCATTTAATTGCTGCGGAATGTGCAATCCGGACTGTCGGCTTACCGAGGTGTGCAAAGATTCACATGAGCTTTATGCTCGGAACAATAAGGAGAGGAATAATAAAAAATATGCGAATAAATTGTGGCTGAGGCCCATCTTTTCCCCAAGCAAAACACACACAAAGTCAAGCACATTGTGGCGTTTTAAGCGGAAAATATGAAGCACTTCCGTTTTCCGCACACTCACACACACACACATACAGTTGACTTGGTTACAGTTATAAGACTGCCACCAAGATGGCTGCCTGTCACTGTGTGTGTGTGTGCGTGTGTTTTGGTGTGTGCGTGAGCAGGAATTTACCGCCATTATATTTAAATATTATTATAATGCCAGGATGGCAAACAAAGTGTTGACAGAGCGACAGGGCGAGCAAAACAAGAAGGGTGCCGGAAAAGCAGAACGACCACCACCGAATTACGTTAGCCAAAGTACTTTTGCGTTCCGTTTCACA